GCTATGAGATTCAGACTGAAGATTTTTACAAAGATGTAAGTGATGATGTAGACCGTTTGTTTGACACGAGCAACATTTCAAAAGATCATCCCTCCGAGATACCAACCGGTGTGAACAAGAAGGTGATTGGAATGTTTAAAGATGAGGCAGGTGGAAAGATCATTGAAGAGTTTGTTGGTCTTAGGGCTAAGCTGTACAGCTACAGAATGTTTGGAAAAAGGGGGAAAGAAAAGAAGAAGTGCAAGGGTACAAAGAAAAGTGTGGTGCAGAGTACAATCAGCTTTGCCAACTATAAAAAATGCTTGTTTGGTGGTGGAAATCAACTTTGAAAAATGAACACACTTCGAAGCCGAAAGCATGAGATGTACATGGAAGAGATCAATAAAGTCGCACTATCCGCTGATGATGACAAGCGAATCATTTTACCAGACAAAATACACACACACGCGATAGGACACCACAAAACCGTCACACAACACACTTAAAGACAAATGTCGCGCCGTCAAAATTATACCATATGCACAATAATTTGACGTGAATGCGTTGGGCCGAGCCGCTGGAAAGTACCAAATTATTGTATATGCACAATAATTTGACGTGAACGATGAAAAATGGGGAAAAAAAGTGCAAAATAATGTATATGCGCAATAATATGACGTGAATCATGAAACTGTCCTCGAACCGGCTACAATACAACTACTATTACGCCAAAAAACAAAGTTTAGTAGGAAAGGTAGTAATAGACTGTGTTACCTATCCCACAAACACAAAATAGCGAAGACTTGTCATAGGAGCATTCACCTGCTGCACAAGTGCAGAATTCAGGAACCAACCTTGTGTCCAAGCAACGTTCAACAAGACAACATACACATTACAAAAGATGAAAACGCAACGTGCTGATGTAGTGTGAATCACTCGTTGCCATGAGTCTAAGCACATCCGTCGGGCACTCCCCGGGGGTTGGCTACCCCAGCTCGCGCTGAATCCCTGAGGAATGCCCTGGACTCAAGCTAGAAGCTGAAACAGTGACCATAAGACCTTTTTGCCCTTAGTGTCAGAGTGGACGGACCGGCCCAACACAGCGTTGCTTTTCATAAGGGCCACAACTTGCTTTTTCTGTGGGGACACTCCACGAATTTTCAAAGCTGAAAAGGGTTAAGGGAGAGCAACTGAGCCTCAGATGGACCTAATTAGGGTTAGGGTTAGGATACTAAAATACCACCCATATTGGTCAAGTTTGCAAAGCCAGAATGGAATGGTTAACTGCGTCAAAGACGTGCTCATCAAAGCTAAGTCATTTATCCACAGAAATCCAAACAATTCAATTGATTTTCGTAGTGGAAAAGAGAATACATGATCCGAGTTTCCTATTATCGTAGGTTGGTGTTTGGTGGGATTGAGAAGCCTACCGTTGATTTTATACCATTGGCTTGCAATATTACCTTAATGCATTAGCCACTTGTCCAGTAATCTAGGGTCTTTATCCGAGTCATATAATTGTTCATTGTCCTAATACACATTAAGCTTAATTTACTCTGATAAAGGCGAACGAGTCTCTTCTTTTTTCCCTGTGCTTGTAAGAAGGGGAACGGTGATTTAATTTGGCAAGCAAGTTGAGATGCAAGTTCGGCAGGAACACTGCAGAAGTACTTGTTGATCGCATTTGATATTGAGAACGGCTGTTCAAAGTGTTTGTCATTTACTTGCATCTTGTCTACGGTCACATTCGTGTTATCGCACATTTTCTGAGAGTTCCTGGAATCTTTAAGTGCTGATTATGATCACATTGTGCGCAATATATTTTGTTAATGGCCACTATTTTGTTGAGATAAAATTTGTATTTATCATGTTTATATTCTTACACAGCTGATTACGAATTTTAATTGATTTTCTTAAACCTCCAGTTACCCAGGGTTTA